TTCTTCTTCTTCTCTCCTCCTCCGCCTCCCCCTCATCTTCTTCTCCTTCATCTTCTCTCCTCCTCCTCCTCTTCCGCCCATCTTCTTCTTCTTCTTCTTGGACCGCCACACCTCCCTCCGTGCCGCCGCCCCCCAACCCGGTATGTACTTGGTATCACGCATGCAGCAAGCAGCAGGCAACATACATGCAGAGTCCCCAACACCCAGAAACCCCCCTCCCCCCCCCGCGCACCCAGACAACCCGTCCTCCCCCCAAACCAGAATTTTTATTGCAGATTCGGGGTCCTCTCGCCGAGCACAGAAGGACCCCGCTTTCAAAATAAAATAAAAAAAATTCTGGGTTGTTTTTTTGCCCGCCCGGTTTGCCCGGGCGGCCCACCCGGCCCCGACCGGCCGGGCGGTGTCCGTACTCAGTTTTTAGTTCAATTTTTTGTGCGTATTTTAGTGTTTTTGTAGTGTGCGCGTTTATTTTATTTTATTTTATTTACCTTTTCAGTTCCTGTTCGGTGCTTCTTCTGCTGAATATATTCCGTACTCTTGTGTTCTTGCAGTTTCTGATGAAAGCCCAGATCGCCGTGCGGCTAATTCTCCATGGGTAGTCCATCAGTCTGAGTTCCCTCCAAAACAACTTTAACACCGCGTTTAGATCTACGACCTCATATGTGTTCGCTACGTGCCAATTATCGTCAGCGCTTTAGTCTTCTAGGAACCAGCACTCCTGAAGTGGCGCAATGTCCTGAGAGAGAAAGAGAGAGAGAGAGAGAGAGAGAGAGAGAGAGAGAGAGAGAGAGAGAGAGAGAGAGAGAGAGAGAGAGAGAGAGAGAGAGGNGAGAGAGAGAGAGAGAGAGAGAGAGAGAGAGAGAGAGAGAGAGAGAGAGAGAGAGAGAGAGAGAGAGAGAGAGAGAGAGAGAGAGAGAAACTCTGGTGATAAGGAGAGCTCAAGCATAACAAATGGAGCTTTGAAGGTGAGATACCGGCCGAATGTACTTACCTAGCTTCCACGTTCCTTGTCCACCAAATTCTCTGCAATTCCAGCATCAGAGCAGGCTGTTGCACAAAATTCAAAAACAAAAGAGGTTCCAGTTAGAAATATTCCTCCTTCAGAATTCCCAGAAGCACCTCTCTCAGCCGCGGCACCCTGACCTCTGCGTGTTAATTGAACCACTTCATCCCCTTTTGAAATCAAAACTCCACAGCTGATCACTGACAATGTTGTCCTTTTTTTTTTTTTTTTTTTTTTATCGGGTGGGGACGGCACGTGATGGGAACCGGGCCCAGTGTCCCACTTATACAACGTTCACACAACTTCACAGATACACCTTTCCCTACTGTTCTATAGTTGGACGGCTCATTTACAGTTAACAGTTAGGTCAAGCATCGGACCTTCAGGCTTTGCTGCCAGGGCAATCTAAATGGGTCGGCACAGCCATGGGGAGCCTGTGCGGGCAACTAAGACCTTGCCCCCGAACTGTTTTGTTCTTTCAAAACGTGGTTTGGAAGCTGTCTTTTTTCCCTCCCCCCAGATTTTAGAGGAAGGACAGAGGGGTGTAGGGGGTCGAGGGATATGTGTACGAGTGCATCCCCCACTTCTCTCTCTCTCTCTCTCTCTCTCTCTCTCTCTCTCTCTCTCTCACACACACACACACACACACACACACACACACACACACACATCATCCCTCCCTCTCTCTTTGCACCCTCAATGGTTGCACACGACCCAGCTTTGGCATAACTTCAGCAACATTTCATTTCGAACAAGGACTGCAAGATTCAAACAAGATTGAAAGAGCTGGTTCACCAAAGAAGACTCGGACAATGTTCAGAAAGAAGATGACAAGATTCAGAGAAGAGGGAAAAAAACGATGAAAATGATGATGATTATGATCATCAGATTCGTCACCATGATCATCATGATGGTCGTGATGATACCAGCCCATCATTGCGCAAAATTGGAGCCTCTCCTCGCTCTAAGAAGTTCCAAGATGATGGAAATGAAGTTGAATGGACAGAACGACGACTACCGGCGACGACGACTTCTAATGTTGTTTTCACTTTATTGCAGGGCCTAAACAATTTTATTATTTTTTGAAACTTTTTTAACGAGTTTTTTATTATGTGAAGTACACATTTGTAAATTTTCAGGGCATTTGGCTGTTCCAAAAAAAAACGACAAATCGCCAAAGATGGCGGTGTCGAAAACGTGCTCGCTCACTCACTAGTTTTAATTCTCTTTTTATTTTTTCTTATTTTTATTACGACTCTTTAATAGAGTCTTTAATACTCTTTATGAGTTTTTTATTTTTTTTTTTAAATTTTAATTTTATTTCAAATTTGGTAAGGAATTTGGATGTAATGCTCAGGCAAGTGTTGTGTATTTTATTTTTCTTCACAACATATTATTTTTTCAGATTTTGTTTTTCATTTTTTTTTTCTGGTCCGCGTTCGTCCCGAACGGCCGAATGCATCCCCAAGGGATCCCGTACGTTCGGGCGTTCGGGTTCGGGCGTTCGGCCTGTCCCGAACGCCCGTTATCCGGAATATTACTATATTCAACTATATTGTCTCCCTTCTTTCCTTGCCAGTTGAGGCCTGTTATCAAGTCTTTCATCTTTTACCCACTACACCTAGGATGACACTCTGGGTATAGATTCCATCCATCCAGTGGAACAAAGGGATGCATCAACAGAGATATTCAGAAAAGATTATGCACCGTCAGCAAATGATTGGTGGGCCGGATATATATCCTGACATCAGCTGATGTCATTTAAAACACAAAAAAAAGAGTTAGAAAAAACATGATTGGGCGAAGTTTGTGATCCCCATACCGGCATCTCCTTCATCAACTCATCATCGCTGTAGCTGAACATCCGAGCCTCCCATTTCGTCAGCAACTGTTGCCTCTGCAAAATGCCAACGCCACATATATAATATTAATATTATATTAATATATCGTCAAATAGAACTGCCCGGTAAACCGTAGGCAGAGAGGGAGAAGAGGACAACAATATATATATATATCGTCACAATATTATATATATCGTCAAACAGAGCTGCCTGGTAAACCGCAGGCAGAGAGGGAGAAGAGAACAACAAACGAGAGGCTGTGACAAACTGTTTCATCGGAGTTTCACCGACTCATCAGGAGGCTGATACATATGTCGTTAAACAGAGCTGCACGGTAAACCGTAGGCAGAGAGGGAGGGAGAAGAGGACAACAAACGAGGGGCTGTGACAAACTGTTTCGTCGGAGTTTCACCGACTCAACAGGAGGCTGAACCCTCAACAGTCTGCAGCATCCCCTAACTGATCATATGTATATTAAATATACCCGGCACTGCGGGCAGCTCTGTTTGACGATATATACGACAACTTCGCTAGCACCCTGCTACAGTTTTCTCCGGTCAGGTTGAGCGGCCGTGGTCGGGGCCATCACTACGCAGCCATACTGTGCCTCTAGTGCCAGCGGCGTGTCTGGACTGTACTTTTGGGCTGTGACAGACCTTTCTTTGTTTCGTGGGTGTTTTGCTGGCTTGTGATGGGGTGTGAACTGACAGTCTGTAGAGTTTTCCATCTGGTGTGGGTGAGTGATAGTCTGCTTTGATTTTCGTCACAGATACCTTAAGGGCAGTGGTTGGTGCCCACCTCAGGGTATCAGTTGTCGGGCAGTCGTTGATGCTTAACCTCAACCGGGGTTAAGGTTGATTATCATTCACAGTGTAATTAATACTAATTATGGGATTCTGCGGACTGTTGAGGGTTCACCCTCCTGATGAGTCGGTGAAAGTCTGACGAAACAGTTTTTCACAGCCCCTCGTTTGTTGTCCTCTTCTCCCTCTCTCTCTGCCTACGGTTTACCGGGCAGCTCTGTTTGACAATATACATATATCGTCATATATATCATCAAACAGATTTGCCCGGTAAATCATAGGCAGAGAGGGAGAAGAGGATAACAAACGAGGGGCTGTGACAAACTGTTTTGTCGGAGTTTCACCGGGTCATCAGCGGGAGGCTGAACCCTCAACAGTCTGCAGAATCCCCTAACTGATTACATTGTAAGTGATAATCCACCTTAACCCCCGTTGCGGTTAAGCATCAACGACTGCCCGACAACTGATACCCTGAGGTGGCACCAACCACTGCCCCCATCAGACATGCACATGTTCTGGGCTGAGGCCCCCAGCAAGCCCTGTGCCCGCGCTAAGTGCAGCCGGGCCTGAATATTCACAAGAGGCCAAAATTTGACATTTTCCATATGTGGGTACTCAGACAGTTGCAGCACGCCAGTTGGTTACAGGGGAACGTAAGCCTCCAGGTTCTTTCCAGAAACAAGGGCTGTGCTGCACAGTTGAGCCCAGGGCCGGGTGGTTGCGCCCTCGACACACACATTGTGAGGCCGACACATCACTCAGTGGCCGCGGACGAATGAGAAAGTAGCATTGTCGTCACACAACTGTCGCGAGCCAATGAGAGGGGCAAACACTTGTGCCTGGACGTGCCCAACCAGAAAGGGACCAGGCCCCCAGCTGTCGGACAGGGCCTGGAAGCAGACACTGGGGCCCGACTGGTACTGGAAACTTCCTTGGTCAGGCCCATGCAGCCAAGCAGGGCAGCTACTCCCACATAAGGAGGAGGCCGGCCAGGGGAAGAGAGGCTGGCCTAGGCAGGCAATGCGGACACGCTGCTGCATTGCTACGCAAATGTCTGCGTTAGCGCTGCTGGCTGGGGCGCATGCGGGCGCTAAGAGGTGAAGAGGGGCACTTACAGCCATAGCCGGGCTGCAGGGGCGCCGGCAGGTGATGGCAACGGTGGTCTTCAAGAAGGAGGCGCAGGTGTGGGTGGACAAGGGGTGATGAGGGGAGTCGAGAGAACGTACCTGGTGTATGTGGGAGGTCAGCATTGGTGTTGACATCATGTACACTGGTCTTCAGCGGTGGAGCGATCCTGTTGCACGAATGTAGATAGGATAGATAGGCTGAGTAGAGTAGGCTGGGCGCTGGGCGCCATACAGTAGGGGCAACATTGGATACTGCGTTGGTGTGGCCTGAGGGCTTGGACGTTGGCTCACGAGTCCATTGTATCGCTCTTATGTGGATGGAATCTTGGTGCATTTACGCTCTCTGCTTGGTACATGACTATCTGGACTTCTGCGTGATTTTGCAACTTGGTTTTCTGTCTATCACGCTCGCTTATATTCCTTGCATTATATTAAAAATATATATTAATAATATCATATATGTATCGTTAAGCAAAACTGCCCGGTAAACCGTAGGCAGAGAGGGAGAAGAGGACAACAAACGAGGGGCTGTGAGTCCTGTGACAAACAGTCCTGCAATCCCGGTAGGAACGGGGGACCCTCCCCCAACCGGAACCGGACTGGTCCTACCGGCCAGTCGACCGGGCAGGTTCCCCCCCGGTTGGCCGTAGCGCATCATTTTTATTATTATTATTATTATTATTATTATTATTATTATTATTATTATTATTATTATTATTTTTAAGCCCAGGGTGTTGTATAGGCCAAGGACTAGACCCACGGTGATCACTGGCAGCAGCAGCCGGTGGTTGTCCTGACAGGATAGGGCACCTTCCCTACCCTTCCCCAGGTAATGCTCCCAGCGCACCCCCTATCCCTACTATCCTACCTCAGTGTGACCAACACTCAGGACCATCACCCTACCAGTATCAAGGGCAACTTGGACCAGACAGCAGTGACAAGCACCCCCTAACACTATAACCCCTACCCCGCTTTTCAAAGTTTTTGGGTGGGAAGTACAATCCCTACCCTGCCACTAATACCCCCAGCCCCTTTTTCAAAGTTTTGGGCGGAAGGTTAACGTTTGCAGAATTGCTGTCAATGTCTGCTGAAGCCCGTGCTTGCTGAAACCCCACCACTGACACCCTCACCATACCCCCCCCAACCCCCGACCCTCAAGCCCTGAAATACCCGCCCCCCCCCCAACCCTCCAAACGAAACTTCTCTGTTCAAAGTTTTCTTCGCGGATTCGAGGAGATCTCGGTGAGCGCAGTCCAAATATGTTTTCAAAAAAATAAAAATAAAAAAATTTGACCCACTTCTGGGCCCAACCGGAATTCAGGTTGGGCCACCGGGGGTCCAACCGGCCCGGTTGGATCCAGCCCGGTCCAACCGGCCGGTTGCCGGCACAGCCATGATGACAAACTGTTTCGTCGGAGTTTCACCGACTCATCAGAAGGATGATCTATCTATCTATCTATCTATCTATCTATCTATATTATATGTCGTTAAACAGAGCTGCCCGGTAAACTGTTGGCAGAGAGGGAGAAGATGACAACAAACGAGGGGCTGTGACAAACTGTTTCATCGGAGTTGCACCGACTCATCAGGAGGCTGAACCCTCAACAGTCTGCAGAATCCCCTAACTGATTATATGTATATTATATATAGCGGGCAGCTCTATTTGACGATATATACCACAACTTCGCTAGCACCCTGCTACGGTTTTCTCCGGTCAGGTCGAGCGGCAGTGGTCGGGGGCGTCACTACGCGGCCATGCTGTGCCTCTAGTGCCAGCGCCGTGTCGGGAGTGTTTTTTGGGCTGTGACAGACCTTTCTTTGTTTCGTGGGTGTTTTGCTGGCTTGTGATGGGGTGTGAACCAACAGTCTGTAGAGTTTTCAATCTGGTGTGGGTGAGTGATAGTCTGCTTTGATTTTCGTCACAGGTACCTTGAGGGCAGTGGTTGGTGCCCACCTCAGGGTATCAGTTGTTGGGCAGTCGTTGATGCTTAACCGCAACTGGGGTTAAGGTTGATTATCACTTACAGTCTAACCAGTTAGGGGATTCTGCAGACTGTTGAGGGTTCAGCCTCCTGACGAGTCGGTGAAACGCTGACGAAACAGTTTGTCACAGCCCCTCGTTTGTTGTCCTCTTCTCCCTCTCTGCCTATGGTTTACCGGGCAGCTCTGTTTGACGATATATACAAACGAGGGGCTGTGACAAACTGTTTTGTCGGAGTTGCACCGGGTCATCAGCAGGAGGCTGAACCCTCGACAGTCTGCAGAATCCCCTAACTGATTACACTGTAAGTGATAATCCACCTTAACCCCGGTCGCGGTTAAGCATCAACGACTGCCCGGCAACTGATACCCTGAGGTCGGCACCAACCACTGCCCTCAAGGTACCTGCGCCGAAAATCGAAGTACCCCCACCAGATGGAAAACTCTACAAACTGTCGGTTCACACCCCATCACAAGCCAGCAACACACCCACGAAACAAAGAAAGGTCAAACACAGCCAAAAAATACACTGCATACACGCCGCTGGCACTGGAGGCACAGCATGGTCGCGTATATCTCAGAAGAATAACAAAACGTCAAACCCAAACCCCACTCAATCCCATTCAGGCACCCCGTACTCTAGCTCCTGTCCCCTTCACCAACTTTTCCCCAGCCAATTCTCCAATACACATCTCCCATTCATCTCCCAGACATCTCCACAAAAGCAAGTGTGGATATCTCCACAAAAGCAAGTGAGGATATCTCCACAAAACCAAGTGTGGATAACAGGGAATCAAACCCATATCGCCTGCGTGGAAGGCATACAATTTTACCTTTAATCTGAGGTTCTGTGGAAGGATCTGGCCAACTGGTAGTCAATCCTTCCCCTTGGGGAGCAATCAATCCTGGTCAGGGTTTCGTCGGCCTGGACAGAAGGAAGCGTAGATTGGGTCATCGTGTAATTACTGTTTTACACTTGTTGATGGAAAGGGACCAAACTGACGCCCCCCAGAATGGACAACACAGGACCACAAGGACAGCTTCTCTCTCTCTCTCTCTCTCTTTCTCTCTCTCTTGTCTTTATTTTTCTTCTTTGAACTATTTTATTCTGGTCATCTGAGTGCATCAGGATTTGAACTTGGGTCTGTATTTCAACATTTCACGGGTGTACAAACTGAGAAGGACAGCTTTGCTGACTTTCTGGTTAGGAACAAGTGGCCTGTATTCAACACGATTCAAATTCCGATTTGAACTTATTGTCGAGCGGGTCAGCCAGTTGTGAAGATGGCCCTGCTCACCAGTCCCGGAGTGGTTTAAACTTTAAACCATGGTTAGCTGTATCGTAACCATGGTTTAAACCACTCCGGGACTGGTGAGCAGGACCATCTTAACAATTGGCTGGACCCGCTCGGCAATAAGTTTGAGTCAGAATTTGAATCCTGCTGAATACAGCAGTGACATTGGTTTGCTTGCTCCTTTATCAAACAGAACGTAGAGGACTACAAGGAGATAAGGAAAAGAAAACCTGTGTGCTCTCCATGGGACCCTCCGCGATGTCTGGCATCACTGCTATAGTCCCCTGCGTCGCTCCCAGTGCTTGCAGCCTTGCACTGTTAAGCGATCACGAGTTCCAACCAATTGTGAGTAGAGGATTACAAGGGCGATCCCGAATTCCAATCCAATTATGAACTTGCGATGGTTAAACCACCAGTACCTACCAGTTGTTCAGGCCCGAACCTATATCTGAACAACCCGAACCTCAGCCTACCGGTATCCCGAAGCTTGCCGAGCCTCGAGCTAGCGGTAGGTGCATATAAAAAAACAAAAAAGAGAGAAAAGAAAAAATAAACAACTTTCTTCTATAAAACAAAAAAGAAAAAAACAAAGAAAACCGTTGTACCCCGTTTTGTAATAACCCTGTTCAGAAGTAGCCTGGGGCCCAGAACTCAGCCCCAGGCCACGCAGACCTGAGAAGGTCTGCGCTGGGCTGTGTGACCAAGACACGCCCAGGACTGAGTCTGTCGAGTGTGGCTGTGTGACCGCACGCTGCACACAGGAAATTCAAGAGTCAAAGTCAACTGTAGAGTCAAAGGTACCGCACCCAGGGCCTGGGATGGATACACTCACTTGTTGTGCGCAGGTACCGAGACAGCATCCAGGCCGGAGGGAATTCGGTTTCAGGCCAATCTGAGCCCTCATTCGCATTGAGATCTGGACGGCCGAGAGATACAGCAGCCGGGGTCCAGACCCCTCGTCAACACTACATAAGAGTTGACTTCCTGACTTTGATATTCATTCTTTCTGTCTTGCGTTGACGCTACTCTACGCGTTGACGGCACGTCGCTGGCTGGAGGCTGCGACGCTGGCATTACGCTGGTATTTGGCGAGATAGCGGCAACACGCTGCTGGCTGGTGAGCTGACTGGCTGGCTACTGTCTTCAAGGCTTGCTGACGTGGCATTGCCACGTGTTGCTGCTGACGTGGCTGCTGCCACATGTGACATTGCCGGGTTTACAAGACCGGCATTGCTGTTCTATTCTGTCATCACTTCAGGGAGATATCAAGGCTGTTTCATCGTCAGTTCAGGAGGAGATTGGAACTGTGTGGAGGTTGTGGATACGTACCTGGGATCTCCATGTCGATGCTACTCCAGCGCTGATGAGAGGTTGATTGGGTGCCACGTGGCACATTATAACAGGACTTCGATATGTATTCAGATTACTGGTTATTGTGAGGTGGCGGTCAAGGAAGGAGCCCGGAGAAGGAGTGGGCATTTTTATCATCCTCTCCTTTGTCTCATCTCCCTCCTTCCTCTTCGTCTGTGTATGATTACCTCACCTCCTTCTTTCTGGATACTATTTTGATTACTGGAAAT